GGAATATAATTATCGGAAATTCATAAATTTATATAATTGAAAATAGTTAATATGGAAAATATATAGTTATGCTTTAGCTATCCATGCACAATGCAATCAATCAAGTGAGACTATATACCGCTAAAAGATTGTGTAATAAACTGGCCCGTTTTACAGCGGATAAACTTTTTACAGAGACTGTCGCGCGACAACAACCTTAAAGTATAAGTATCCTCTAAATAAACATATTATTTTCAAGTCACTAGATCGAATGGGTTTATTTATAATTATAAGTAAGCTTGACTCACCCGCACAAAACGCGTCATAAATATTAATTATAGGCACATACATTCGCAATATACCTGACATGCATATACAGAAATATATTTGCAGTGAAAAATTTGAATGATATATCGCATATAACTATTATCATATATTTTTTTTCAGTGAGGGAAACTTTTTAGTGTTTGGAAAAATATTTGAATCTTACGTATTCGATCATGGCATCGACGATGAGATTGCCAAAGTTGCATTCTTTTCTCCTGCAGTTTTTGGAGTCACCGTCGAGGAGTACCCGAGCAGAACCAACAGCCTGATTCTGTAGCTCCAGGATTTCGGGTCGCCATCTGTCTAATTCGTCAAGGATGTCCTTTGCTTGTTCGATTTTGCTATCGACGAGGACAGGATCACCAACAATTCCTACGATTTCCCCCTGGGAGTCGAAGTCCAGGGTGAGATTCCCCAGGTACTTGGTGTAGGCGTATGCCTGAACGACGTAGACCTTTCGTCGAGTTTTTTCCTGGATAATTTCGGTGGGGTAGAGGCCCTCAGAAGTCTCGAGGTCTGGCTGATGCCCGGTGTAGAGAAAGGTGTTGGTGTGGCCACCGATGACGAGGTCGATCCCCTCGACCTCTGCTGCTATTCTCTTGTCCATGGAGAAGCCTGAGTGACCCAGGGCTATCAGGATATTCACTCCTTGTGCTTGGAGATTTTTCACTTCTTCCCTGATAGAGGTGATCTCGTCCAGGAAGTTGACGTTCCTCGAGTTTGCTATGAATTTTGTCTCGGGGGTTAGGTAACCGATTATTCCGATCTTCCGCCCGGATACTGTCAGGACAATAGATTTTTTTAGGGGCGAGGCTGCCAGCTCTGGCTCCTTGGACAGGTCCAGGTTCGAGGCCAGTACTGGAAACGTCGTGGCATTCAGGAATGGAGTCAGACCGTCTGGACCATCGTCGAACTCGTGGTTTCCCAGGGACTGTAATGCATTTGGGTTGTAAATCTTTTTGGAGCTATCTCCGCACTCAGGGAACTTGGGCAATAAGGTCACAGGAATTTTTGTGGTCTTTTCTGATATGAACACTCGATAATCATAAGCTAATTGCATAATTGCGAGGCCAGGAGCAAGAATTTTTTTTTATCATTGGCGTTCGTCAGTGTAATTTTTTGGATGTATCTCGTCACTCATTTTTTATAGCTCAACAATATTTTCATAAATAATTCTTATGAAATTGATATCGAAATAATTTTATAATGAAAAAAGTGCGAGCGATATTTCTGTCAAAAAACAAATTTGCCGGAATATTTTTTCGGATCTATCTCGGAACTGACTAGACGTACGAGAAAATGTCAAGATAATTTTTTGTAGTTGAGGAATATTCCCACAAATAATTCCTATGAACTTTTTTTCGGATAACCAACGGTTATCAAGAGAAATGCATTACAAGAGCGGCGGTGAAGCATTTCTTCTCAAAAAACCATTTTGATATTCAAGTTTCTTTTGGTTTATCTCGAAAAGGAGAGGGTGACTGAAATTGTCAAAGGAATTTTCGATAGCTGGATAACTCTCCCGCAAAAAATCCTTATCAGCTTTTCCCGGAGAACCCGTTAGTATTGAGATAAATCGGTATCAGTAATAGTTAAAACTCACGATGGCATCGGGGCTCAGTAGATTCAAGAAAGTAGCGACGATTTTCCACTTGTGAACAGTGAACCAAGTGGTTCCCTGATAGGTATCTCCAGCATTGAGAAATAGAGTTGGAACACTAGATGCTCTTGCCTTTCTTATCAAAGTTGCAAGCCTGGCAAATCCGCCATAGCATTTACCAGCCCTTTGGTCCTTCTCCAGACATTTGGTGGACAGCCTAGAGGTTTCCTCGAATCTGTCGATAATTCATATAATTTAAAACTCATCGCCGCCCACCAGCGGTTTTAATTAAACCAACTAATGAACTACACGTGGAGTGAAATTAATGCGTTCATTCTACGTAAAGGCGACGGGAAAAAAAAACCATGAGTTTAGTAAAAATTACAATTACAATTACAATTACAATTCGTTTGTTGGTTCATATTTAAATTTCACAATGTCCCAAAAATCTCAAAAATCTGGATGAGTTATAAATGAAATAAATCTTATCGTTATCATTTGAGCTTTTTATTAAAGTTTTTTCAAATTCTCAGGATATCTGAATGAATTGAAGAATTAATTTATTGTTCCGACTAAATTTAGTTGCTATTGTAGATGTTCAGAACTTATTTCAAGGATTTTCTAAGGAATATACACCTTCTGCATATGTTTATATTAAAATTAATTTAATGAAAAATATATATTGTAGTTTTTTATTTGAGTATTTCATCATTTTTATTTTCACTCGACCCATGAACTTTTTCTTATATTGGATAAAGGTGAGAGTGAAGAAGGAGTACATTTCTTCCAAGGGAAGAAGAAAAAAACCAAAATTTCAAAAAAAAAAAAGAAAACCAACAAAAAAAAAATTAAGAAAAATTGGCCAATCTAAAAAAAATCCAAAAAGGGGTAAAAAAGTGCCGTGAAAAAAAAGTACTTATCCTGATTTATTAATTTACAATAGAATTTTACCATAATCCGGAATTCGACTCAAGTTTTCCGGTAGGAAGAAATAAAAAAAATGATTTTATGAAATAATTACATTTTCGTTCCGACAACCCAAAATATTGAATATTTATCTATTAAGTTGTAATTGGCGTGTAATAATAATGTGAGAGGGCATTTCAATAGAATAAATTGAACAGAAAAATCAGCATCTAACTTTTTTCTATAAATAATAACAGTTGCATAATTCTCAATAGAGTTGACGCTAAAAGGAAAGAGAATATTTTAACAGAAGTCTTGTAATTCAGTTAAGGTGGAATGAAGAAATCAATAAAGAAAACTCTAAATCATTAACAAAAATGTCTTCATTATTTGAATTTAATTTCAATGAATGAATCAAAATATTCACTAAATTTATCATTACTTTTGAATTGTTAATTAATCCAATAATGTGCGAAGTGCAACGAAAATGTAAGAAAAAGCTGCAAAAAACTTGCAGTAAATTTTTATAAATCCAATATATTGGATTCCAAAATGACAATTAAGTAATTACCTCGCGTGCATGTCATTGGTATGTACGATCTTCAATTGAAATGTACGATCATCAACGACAGGAGCCCCGAAAGCGCTACCAAAGAATAAAAGCAGAACTACAGCACCGAAATATTCCATATTCACAGTCTTATTCATTTATCAGAGCACATTGAGTTATAATTATGTCATAAACACGGTAAAAGTCACTCGAACCACTTGCAGGTATGTCCCCACTGATTAAATTTGCCGAGTTAAACTGCCAGTGAATTTGTTTGTTTTTTTTTTTTTTAGTTGCAACAGAAAGGTGTGTTTTCTCTGAGGGAATGATTTTTCCTCATCAATTACAGAATATTAATTGTCGTTTTTGCTGTAATTTTGTAATTGAGTGGGTGCTAATGAGCACCGAGGAGAGCCGAGGAATGTGGCCGCACGGCAGAACGGCTTGACGTCGACTGAAACGTTCATCGTCGGGGGAATATATTTCGTAGAGACACAAGTCGACGTGATCCATCACGAAATAGTCTGACATGTTTCGAATAGTGTCCATGGGCCTTTCTTGAATATTCACATTTATCTCGGCTCTGGGCACGAGTCAGTTGCAACATTAATAAGCTAGTTGTATTTTTGCACCTATCCCTCACGGAGAAAAAACATATGTGCGAATAATTAGTGCATATTTCATTTTCCGTGTCAAATATATTTCATGTATATGTTAGATATATGCCGAATGTGTACTATATAATGAGTGGGGTTCTGTGGAAATGTGTTTATGTAAATTGTTGTACGTGTGATTAGGAGTTTCAAATATCTCATTCGAATCATAAAATGCCCGTTAAAATGATAACGCGTTGTTAAAAATTGTTTAGTTAGTAACATACTCAATGTCGAATTTCTATTGTTTAACGA